CAGTCCTATCGGTTCACCCAAATCAAAATTGTACTGAATTTAGTAGGGGAGAGGGGTGCACCTTTGAACAGCGCTCATAAAATCTTGGTTTAAATTTTTTCCGACCCGCGACCACATTTTTGTATATGCAATTTTGTTCTCTATCTGCGTAAACCACTTTGGCTAGTTTCTTCAGTTGTCGACAAATTGTGCATGGGTGACCATGTTTTCGCAGTGTCATTGTAAACTTTTATTCTTTTGGTTGTAGGGGCGCAGGAAGAATTTAGTGACTGTTTTCTTTCGTTAAACAAACTTTTTGCATTTCAACAATTATTTCAAACATAACTAATGCATTTTCTTTCACATATATTTTCTACAAAAATTTTTATTATAAATTTCCGTAAAATACCACAAGGCCCCTTTGAACATACCCAGTAAACTCCATTAAAAAACGGAGTTTTTATACCCTACACAACTATGTTGTCAGGGTATTATAGCTTTGTGCAGCCCCAAAAGTTTGTAACGCCGCGAAATATTGATCCTAGACCCATCTTTAAGTATACCGATCGTCATATCTCGACTAGCTGAGTTGATCTAGACATGTGTGTCCGTCCGTCTGTCCATTATAATTTGTAAACATGATACAGGCCACAGTTATGGACCAATCTTCACGAAATTTTGCATGTAGGATGGGTTCTGGCCAATGAAGACCCCTATTGTTTTTGGGAAAGATCGGTTAATATTTAGGGGATGAAATGGACCAAATACTAAATTTTTGTCGGTTTTTCTGGTCGCTCCAGAGACCGCAATAATGGCCCGAACATCGTGAAATTTTGCATGGAGAAGGGGATCGGGTCAAAGAATAAGCATTCCTGTTTTGATAAAGATTGGTCAATATTTAGCGGGTCAAATGGACCCTGACTTTTGTGTGAAAAATTACAAAATTTGTATTCTATAGCGTATATATTTATCCCTGAATGACATATACCCGAGAAGTTGATATTATGTCCAAGAGGAGTGGTTGACCTTTAAATTAATACCAATTATACTGTTGTATGTGCTCGGATGTGGGAGTTACACCTAAACATTTACAGGTGCTTATGTATTCAGATGTTATTTAGTAACCCTTTACCATACTAGAGGGTAGAAATATAGCGCTGATCGCTTTAAAATGTTCCATGAAGTTCCAGTTATGGTCAAGGATAACGCCTAAAATTTTCGGTGACGATCAGGTAATTATATTGTGATGAAGTGAACCAAAAACTTAATTTTTTGTGTTTTTTCGAGTCGATATATAGGCTCCAATGGGAAAAAGAACATCACAACACAAGGGAAGGGAATCTGGAAAAGTAATTAGAAGGGCTGTACTGAACATTAGTAATAATTGTTGGCCTCTAGTTGGTTCAGATGGTTCAAATATCGCGAAATATTGCCCAAGCTCAGAATATAGATCCACAGAAAGTTAGTTTTTCGTGGAAGTTGTGTAGGGTATCATATGGTCGGCCCCGTCCGACTATACTGCTCCGCTCACTGGTTAACTTTTGGCTTCGATTTCTCAAAAATTTCAAATGGGCTAATAAGATTAAGGAATCGCTGTATTTTGCACCATATACATTTTTGTGTTTAAGTTATTTTATGTTTTAATAAATTTTGATCAGAATTTTTTTAATTTTCGAATATTTATATATATATATATATATATATATATATAGCAGACCCGGCAAACGTTGTTTTGCCGTATCAGAATTGCATCAATTTAGGTTTGGTAAAAATTAACGAATTCGTGAAAAATATATTTCAGAAACTATTTACCATTTAATTTATGTCAAATTTCCGATATAAAAAATTCGCATAATATTTTCCTCGCGACGGTAAACCTTCATTTGCTGATACCCCAATATTTTAAGAAATGTTGTTACTGTTAAATATTAAATTATGTCAGTATGTGTGGTATTTCAGTTTATCAATTTGTCGGACTTCCACCAAACATTTTTCAGGAGAAGGTCAAGTTTTGATCTAACTACTCTTACCGCAAGAGATAATTTAGTACGGATGGCGAAATTACTATTCCTATTTTCATCACAATGAAATCATCAAAATTGGTGCAGAATTTTCTTCGATTAAAAAACTCTTTGCACTGCAATTAAAAACAACCGTAGGAAAATGTGAGTTAAATTGGTGCAGCCGTTCTCAATGAAAATATATTTGAGGAACAATAAAGACACATATAAGTTAAACACCTAAATTGTTGAGGTATTTGTAATCTTTTGTAGCAGTTATTGAACATTTTAAATTGACATTTTGGTGTATCCTACATTGTTTAAGCCTCCTTATCTTTGGATAAGGTCTGATTTTAGGTACTTTGAAAGTTGTAACAAATACCCTAGAAATTGCCCTTAATTCGGTGTTTAATGTAGGGTAATGAACTTCTCTGTAAATTGTCGGTATAGTGTTACTATATGGTATATGTCCCACATAATGGTAGACAAATCGATTAAGATTAAGCACCCAATCTCTAATTGGGCAAAACGCAAATATACTATATAGAGCACCATCTGTTGGACGATTTACCAAAAAGACAACAGGGATTATACGCTGTCAATTTTCGCCCAAAATATATCCAAGAAGAACTACGAAGAGATGAAATCATAAAGGTTCGATATAAAATGTGTGGAAATTCTAATATCTTTCAAAATAAATTTTGCAACATTTTCGCGGATTTTTCTCGAAATGTTATTTTGTTAAAACCTTTCCACTTCAATTGCAGACTACTAACAGAAACTTTAAGTCAAATCGTCCGCCGTTTCTTTAAGATAATTTTTGCAACATTTTCGCGGATTTTTCTTAAAATTTTCTTTCATAAAAACCTTCCTACTGTAATTACCGACAACTGAAAGAAACTTTGAGTCAAATCGGTCCAGCCGTTCTCAATTGATGAGTTAGTATACATTTTTTGCCACCATTTAAACTAATTTTACTTCAATTGATAAGTTATTCTTTTTTCGATTGACTCCCACGCCCTTTTCACGTCGGCACACGCCTATTAAGCACCCAATCTCTAATCGGGCAAAACACAAAGAAGCTATATATCGCGCCATCTGTCGGACGAACTTAAAATTAAATACAAAAACACTACTCATGCCCCATAGAGCATATATGTAAAGTTTGGTCAAAATCGGTGCAGTAGTTCTTGAATTATGGTGAAAAACCACAAAAAACTAAATATTGCGCCATCTCTCGGATGAACTTCAAACTACACAGAAACACTCCTCACGCCCCATAGAGCATGTATATACAATTTGGTCCAAATCGGTGCAGTAGTTTTTGAGTTTAACGATCACGAACATACATGTAATTTTTATATATATAGAGATAGAGATATATATTTTTAATATTTTTTTTTTCAAATTAATTTAGATCTTTCGGAGAAATTTTCTCTCAAACACTTTATGAGCTGCCTCATCTACCTGCATAAGTACCCATGCTTAAGATCCATATAAAAGAACGGGTAGTATCAGCGTCTTGTAGAGTGTGAGTTTGGCGGTGGCCTTGTTTCTAAACTGCATACTTAGACAATAGTAGTATCTGTTGACCAACACTATTCTCCTCCGAATTTCAAAACTGATGTCATTAGTTTTATTTATGGCGGTACAAAGGTATATAAAATCTTTGACTACCTCGAAGCTGTAGTTCTCAAGTTCCATAGTTGGTCCGAGTCTACTAGACGTCTTGCGCTTGTGCATGCTCCTGACCAGCATCTGACCACCAGTCTAGAATAGATCGGTAACCCATCCATGCTTTATTATTCTTCAGCCGATTGATTGCTATTCTGACCTCATCTTGGCCAGGTGATATACACTCTATACCGTCATCTATTATTGGTTCTGGGGTATCCTCTTCACCGCTACTATTTGATACCAGAAGCTTTTCAAAATGCTCCTTCCAGATCCTCAACAATTGTACCAAATTTAGTACCATTTAGTACACATAAGTATGTATTTCCAAAATTGCCTACAACGTATACATGAGTACACATTTCCAAAACCACCTCCTTATATCCATTCCGAATTTCAAGCTTATAACTATATCCGTTCACATGCTACGAAATTGTACCAAAATTAGTACATTTTAGTACAATTCGTACTCTAATTGGCAAAAACCGTTTAGCACATATATCCTACATACCCGTTTTGTCTAGGCGTTAATGAATAGTTAATTTAGGCAATCACTCTTTTATAATTATAGATTCAAAATCTGATTTCGTATTTGTTAGCAGTGCGCATAGCTCTTTAAAACTAATTTGATTAATTTAATTAAAAAAAATTAAACATTTCGATCCACCCTATTGAATTTTTATTTGCCTCTTGCAGAATAGTAATCGATACCTTTATAACTGATATTTATTTATTTCATAAACCCACTGCTTTAATTATTGCCGAAAATGTATACTTTGGCCATAGTGCCCCCCATTGTCGGTATTTTAAAGGAATTATATTTGGTTAGTTATTATTTGGTGATAAATCTTCCTACCAAAATTTATAATTATCGGTGGATCTTTGGGTATAGTCGCCATATAAATGTACATACCCTTCATTAGTATTTTAATAGTCCTAGGTGTATTTTCTAATCGAAATAACAAAAATTTACTTTGGTGGGTAAATAACTTCTTCGAATAACGTTTTCAATATAAGTCTATTTTTCTATGTAGCCCTGTGTCTCTATGTAGTTCTCATACAAAGACCAGGCCCGCTTTTCGGCAAGTTTAAGGCTCTAACACAATTCCCCAAAATGGGTGTCTGGTACTTACTATCCTTTTGGCAGCAATAGACATAACCTTCATCCCGATTGATATAGCTATTTTAATGTCCATCGTATAATTAGTATAGCCCGTCAGAACTTAATTTGTTGGTTTGATCAAGGTTAAATCAGATCTTTTTATTTTGATTTGTGACTAATAAAACTGATTTTCAAACACAAAATAATTAAAGTCCACCATTTTATATTTTAGTTACAACCTACAACTATTCCAGTAAAATACTACGGAAAGACAAACTGGAAATCTTTGCACTACAATGTGCTGGAACGGTTGCTACACAGGCTCTAAGGGCACTATCATAGTAGGTTTTACCGGGACAATTGTATGTAGGTCCATACCAAACTCCGTTGACATTCAAGCAGTGAACATATCTGAATTTACAAAAGAGTGTTAATTGCACATACCGTAATAACAAATATTTTCCAAATTATCTTACTGGTGACAGGTTGTTTGAGGATCTGAACCAACTGGATAACGTCCCTCTGTTTTAATCGAAGCGCAAAAACCAACAGGATCATCTTTGGGCGAAGGTGTTGTCGTAGTGGTTGTTGTTGTCGTCGTTGTTGTAGTTGGATCATCTCTAAATGAACAGGTTGCGGCTTCCTGCAATGTATTTAAATTTCTTTAAGATAAATAATTTATTTATTGTGCATTTTACAAACCTCTACACAAATACGTGCATCATTAGAATTGCACACGGTATCGTTAAAACAAGTAGCTTCAAAATCCGATAGATTATCTGTTCCAAGACATAATTTAAACGTCTTCGTACCAATACAGGCAAATGTCTTAGTTTCATCACATTTGCCACAATTATTACATTCGGCAAGTTCTTTTACGTTGGTGCATGTTCCCAATATGGAACAGAATTCTCCGTCTTCGCATTGAAATAAGGCACCGAATGGTTTGCTGCTTGAATTGCATTGTCGATATTCAGTTTTCGAAACACAGGCTGTGTTACTTCCAGCATTGCAGACATTACAATCAGCTGCTGTCGAAGTGATCATTACACCGACCAGGAAAGCAACAGCAACTAACTGGAGAAAATATTTGAAACATTTACAAAGTATTGGATTTTTGGGGGACTGTTTCACTTACACCGCCTACTTTAATAACAAGATTCATAATTCGACCGTAACCTTAACGTACTAACTAAGTGACTAATCTTACACAATTTATATAAAGTCTGTGAATAGTATATATGAAAATTTCTTATCGTACATTTTTATGGGTCAATCTATCCCATGTCCATAATTCTGGAAAAAATAATGAGTAACTGTTGTCTTACTTTTACTAAAATAATAAAAGTTTGTTTTTAGTTTTTTTACTTTACTTTAATATTTATCTATAGTAAATAATCTGGGAGCATTATATACAGATAAAAAATATTTGCACACCTTAAGTAAAAATAAAATATAAAAATAACAAGCCGTCAAAGGTTCCTAAAGTTACAATATGTAAGATTGAGCATATTTTTTGTAACAGCAAAAGGAATCGAGATAGACCAATGGTTCTTTTTGAGAATACACATAGTCGATTTATGCATGTCCGTCTGTATGTCTGTCCGTCCGACCATGTATTTTTGTGAGCAAAGTACAGGTTGCATTGATGATCCGATTTGGATGAAATTGGACACAGATCGCTTATTTGGACCAAGGACGAATCCTATTGAAATTGGAGAAAATCGGTTCAGATTTAAATATATCTCCCATATACATATAGTTTCGTCCGATTTTATGTAAATGGAACATCAAAGAGTCAAATTTAGGTCAATTGGCATACACTTTTGCACAGAGTACTGAATTAGGTCCAGATTGATGTATGCAAAGTTTTGTAGGCATCTGTTCAGATTTATATATAGCTACCATATATAATTTCGTCAGATTTTATGTAAATGGAGCACCATCCTGCCGACATTTGTCCGATTGAGACATAATTTTACACAGAGTACTGAATTAGGTCCAGATTGATCTATGCCAAGTTTTTTTGGAATCGTTTCAGATTTATATATAGCTCCCATATGTATATTATTTCGTTCGATTTTACCGAAATGGTGCACCAAACTGCCAGATTAATGTATCCCAAGATTTTGTTGGAATCGGTTCAGATTTAGGTATAGCTCCCATATGTAATTTCGTCCGATTTTATGTAATTGGCGCGCCAAACTCCCAATATTTGTCTGATTGAGATACAATTTTGAACAGCGTACTGAATTAGGTCCTGTTTGATATTTATGATGTTTTGATGAAATCGGTTCAGATTTAAATAAAGCTCCCATTTGTGGTTTAATCCGATTTTTTGTAGACGGTGCACCAAACTCTTAAGATTTGTCCGATTGAGACAAAATTTTGCACAGCCTACTGAATTAGGTATTGTTTGATAGTTTTGAAGTTTTGTTGAAATCGTTTCAGGTTTCATATGTATATAGTTTCCTCCGATTTTTGGTAAATGGTGCACAAAACTTCCAATATTTTTTCGATTGAAACAAAATTTTGCACAGCGTAGTGAAAATGGTCCGTATTAATGTATGCGAAGTTTTGTGGAAATCGGTTCAGATTTAGATACAGCTTCATGAAGGGATAAGACTTTCACATCGCCAGAACATTCTGATTTATTCTCGCATTGGTGCGATTGGAAAGTCAGCTTCCTCCTCTCTCAGAATGTTTACAATTGCAAATTTTTATATGGAGGATTTCATAACACGAAAGCACAAGAAATTTAAAATTTAAGCAGATGGTAATGGGAATTTTTATAATCTTTCAAAACCCTATAATTTTTGTGGCTTTGAGGTTTTAGGTTCCAGTCATTGGGCATGCATTCCTCTAGCCAAATTGTACTAATTAGCTGGTGCATGCTCCTGACCTGCATCTGACCAACAGTTTTGAATAGTTCGGCTGGTAACCCATCGGCACCTGCTGCTTTATTATTCTTCAGCCGATTGATTGCTATTCTGACTTAATTTTGGCTACTCTTATACCGTCAATTCTATTGAAAAATGTGTCCAAAATCATCAAAATATTGAAAATCGAGAGGACCGATATTGATCTTTTTGGCAGAAAGATTTTCAACTTAGTGGAGATCCAAAATATTAAATTACACCCAATTTAGTTGAAACGCGTTTAAAATTCTCAAAATACTGAAAATCATTATATAAGGGACATACAAAAAAAGGACCATGCTACCTTATGAGAAAACTAAATATCAAATTAAAGCCAACCTCAAAACATTGAAAATTTGGGACTACAATTATAGATTGGCTAATCCAAAACGTGAACCGTTATAGCTCATCATCGAACTTGAATTTTCAATAGGTTTGCTTCTTAGGTGATTTACTTACGCCAGTCCCTTTCCATCGCATTTCCTGTAAGGCAATAATATCGGCATTGTACTTCTTAAGTACATCCGCCAAAACGAACACTGCGCCTGTTCTGTACAACGTGCGCACATTTCAAGTGCAGATTCACAGATCGTGGTCCTTTATATGTCAACATTAGGTGGGTTTGTGCCAAACTTCACCTGGCGTAAGTAAATCAGATGATTACCCCCTGTATTATAGCTGCCATGAAACGAGACGTAAATTAAGCTGCGGATTTATGGTTAACAGGATAATAAAAGACCTAGTCTCCAGATTTACTCCAGTAGATGTGCGAATTGCTATAATCCGTATAAAAGCGAAGTTCTTCTACATCAGTCTCATTTGCGCCCATACTACGACCGAAGATAAAGAAAGAAGCAGCATATGACCGTTGCCCTGGCCATGTCATTAAATTCTACTAGGAGATTTTAATGCAAAAATCGGAAGGGAAAATATATTTGGCCCCACCGTCGGAAAATTTAGCCTCCATGAAGAGACATCAGACAACGGCATGAGGTTGATTGATTTCGCGGCAACAAAAAACATGGTAGTTAGCAGCACCAGATTCAAGCATCTCGATATACACAAGGCCACTTGGATTTCTCCCGATCGAACAACGAGAAATCAAATCGTTCATGTTCGATAGACGGAAGGCATTCATCCAGTGTTTTAGACGTCCGATCGATACGAGGAGCGAATATTGATTCGGACCATTACCTTGTGGCAGCCAAGGTTCGCACACGTCTTAATGTAGCAACAAAGGTGCGGTCTAATGTAACAGGGAAATTTGACGTCGAAAAGCTGCAAACATAACAGCTTGACGAAATCACCCCTTGTCCCGATAATAATATAGAGGCACAGTGGCAGAGAATTGCCCACTCCCTACAAACTGCAAAATACAAAAAACTAAAAAGAACAAATATGAAGAAAAACGTGATTGTGAGCAAATCGATGTACAGGAGTCAGAATGAAGTACGAAAATTCTACCAACGGGTAAAACACCAAACCGAAGGCTTTGGTGCAGGCACATCCTCCTGTAGAGATGAAGAAGGAAACCTTGTGACAGTTACAGACAGCGTGCTGAGGATCTAGAAGGAGCATTTTGAAAAACTTCTACCACCTAGCCAAGATGAAGTCAGAATAACAATCAATCGGCTGAAGCAGCAGGTGCCGATTCAAGACTGGTGGTCTGATGCTGGTAAGGAGCATGCACCAGCTGATTAGAATGCATGTCCAATGATTGGAATCTCAGCATCCGGTGTCCCGTGCACAAAAAAAAAAGGAGACAGACGATATGTGCCAACTATAGAGGAATAAGTCTCCTTCCCATCGCATATAAAGTGCTATCCAGCGTACTGTGTGAACGACTGAAGCCAATGGTCAATGTCATTATTGGACTATACCAATGCGGCTTCAGACCTGGCAAATCCACCATTGACCAGATTTTCACACTGCGCCAAATCCTGAAAAAACACGAAAAACATATCGACACATTCCACATATTCGTCGACTATAAAGCCGCATTCGACAGCTCTATCCGTTCAGAGGTGTATAAAGCCGTGTCTGTGTTTGGCATTCCTGCAATATTTATACGATTAATACGAACGAGAATTTAGACAAGGTGACAGTTTGTCGTGTGACCTTTTTAACATCCTGCTGGAAAAGGTCATACGAGAGACAAAAGTGAACAGAAATGGTACTCTGTACACCAAACAACACATGTTACTCGCCTACGCCGATGACATCGACATAATGGGTCGAACACTGAGAGTGGTAACAGCCACCTTTGAACAAATTGAGAAGGAGTCTGCCATAGTGGACCTGGCAGTAAACGGCGAAAAGACCAAGCTGATGGTATCAACGCGCAAGACGTCCAGTAGACTCGGACCAACTGTGGAACTTGAGAACTATAGCTTCGAGGTAGTCAAAGATTTTATATACCTTGGTACCGCCATAAACAAAGCTATGGTCTGAGCAAACAACTCAAAAGCAAGGCCACCTTCCGCTAGACCAAACTCACACTCTACAAGACGCTGATACAACCCGTGATATTATATGGATCTGAAGCATGGGTACTTGCGCAAGCATATGAGGCAGCTGTTAGAGTGTTTGAGAGAAAAATTCTCCGAAAGGTCTATGGGCCGATCTGCGTTTACGGTGAATATCGCCGTCGAATGAACCATGAGTTGTACCAGCTGTTCTCGGACATCAACATTGTTAGACGTATTGAGCTACAGCAACTACGTTGGCTAGGTCAATGTTGTGAAATAGATATGCCAGAAGGCATAGAAAAGCGAAGCAGCTGATGGTTCACGCAGAAGTAGAAGGCCACGAATAAGATGAAAAGACCAAGTGGAAGACAACATTGCCGAATATGGTCTTTCAAATTGGAAAAACTGCGCAAAAGACCTATGCACCTGGAAATCTTTTTTATCCTCGGCTTATGGAACGAAAGTTCTGTCACAAACCAGCTAAGTAAGTAAATAAGTCATATTTTATAGTAATTCGATGAAAAAATCGAAAATATGCAGTTATGTACACTGTACCTAACTGAGTCAACATTGTTTTGTTTTCACGCGGCTTCGCAGCACTGTTAAAAACTACATTAACGAATATATTAACTACATATATAAGTTCATAGGATGCGAGCATTTATCTCTCTGCAAAACCACATTATTCTTTCTTAAATGTTTCCATTAATATTAACTTGCACTACTAAATTTATTTTGCATCAGAGTTATTTTATTATTTTACAATGCCTATTTACACACTTCTAAGAAAAAAAATAACATATTCATATAACTAAAGATTAGATAAAATCTGCATTGTACTGTAGATTAGTTTGCATCTTCAAAATATGACCATTTACATCATTCATTGTTCGACTGTTTGGCAAAAATACCAAAGATGTTTCTTTGCGCAAAACTTTTACTTGTAAGTCATTGAATTATTAAAATTGAATTAATTTAATCATTTTATATTTTCCAGCTATTCTTTATTTCTGGACCCACGCTAGAGGTCCTTGCAGCCGAATGCAATGTCTGTTCGACGACCACTCAAATGGCGTGTGTTTCCGAAACTGAATACCAGTTCTGTGTAAATAATCTACCATCTGGAGCGGTAAACTCTTGTCCAACGGGCTATGTGTGCTCCACGACAGGATCGGTAATTTGTGTATCAAGTACTATGGGAGTTCCGGCATCATGTGGCGGATGCAATGTATGTTCCACCGACTTAAAATTTGCCTGTACTGGAACCAATACCTATGCATTGTGTTTGGGAACAAATGTACCCTCAACAACAGCTACTGGTAGTTGTGGTGCAAATTTGGTATGCGATATAAACTCTTCTGAAATGTGTGTTCCACTTGTGGCTGGGGTATGTATATCTTATGTCTCCTGGCTAAATTGATGACTAATTTGTAATTAATTTACAAAAGGTCACAGCATCTTGTACAACAACCACTACCGCAAGTCCCACTACACCCGGTATTTCAACAACCTCACCATTGCCAACATACGCTCAGTATTTGTGTCAAATAATTCGTATAAATGCTCGATTTTCGCTACCGGCCGAAGTTGATAATACTTGCAGGAAGTATGGAATTTGCATCTGTACGCATGTATTAGTGGCATTTTTAATACAATGTTATTTAATTGCAGTTATGTTTACTGTTTCCTTACCCGCAATGGTACCTGGTCGGGCCAAATTTATAATTGTCCTGGACGCACGTATTTTGATCCATACTCCCGTTATTGTGTGGCAACCATACCAACTGGATGTTCGTTTTTATAAACATTATGAGAATTATGAATCCGAAATAAAAATCAAATTAATTATAATGTTATCATATTTACAGAAAATGTTCAGATATGTCCACGTTTTATCATCTTAATATATATAAAAGAGCTTAGTGATAAGTGAGTTAGTGACTGACAGGTCATCACGCAGACGAAACGGCTGAAGCTTGTACTGTTGTGTATTTTTTTATTCTCCTTAATCTGGTTCTGCTTTTAACTCCAAGTGCAGGTAGGCTGCGACCCGTATCATGTGGTCCATTACTACATGTCGGATTTATGCCGTCCGGTGGGCGTGGAATTCCAGAGAGGTAGAGGTTAAACAGTTCCGGAGATATCACATCTCCTTGGGGAACTCCCTGTTTAACTCCATGGGCCCTCGACTTACGGTCTTCCACGTACGACTGACGTCCACACATATAGTTCACGATCCAACGTTTCAAACCTGACTGGAGGGTTGTTCTCTCGACGTCCTCGAACAGCTTGGTGTGACTGACTGTATCAAATGCCTTTCATAGGTCTAGCGCCACCATAACTGTCCTGTTACACGGTCTGTTCTGGTTGAGCCCTTTCGCTATGTGTGTGGAAATGGCGTGCAAAGCTTTTGTTGTAGTATGCTGCTTCCGGAACCCATGTTGATGATCAGCAACTGAGTAGCATTCACGAATGCTAGGGAGTAGTAAAGTCTCAAATGTCTTAGCTACTGGCGACTGACTCACCTTTGCTGGCATCCTTGCCTGGCTCCAGTAACGGGACCACCCTGCCTATTTTCCCGGCATCGGGAACTATTACGGTTGGTAACGACAAGTTGAGGACTTTAGTAAGGTACTCTACTCATGGCTCATCAAGCTGTTTCTACATCACCATGGAGATTCGATCTGGACCAAGCTCTTTGGATGATTTCGCGCTTCTGATGACACTTGCAACATCCTCCAACGTAAATTGTGGTGGTTCCTCCTCCACTTGAAGAGAGCGCATACGGCGCAATATTCTTCTCTTCGAAAAGTTATAAACTTTACTATATTTAGTACTAATTGTACATATATATATATATATATATATATAGTTAAAGTCTTGTATATAGAATGTATATGAATGAATGGGAAGTGTTGTGGTTGTATGGAAATGAAATTCGTACTTATGTGTATGAAATGTACTAAATGGTACATCATTTGGTACTATTTTCAGTTACGGCACTAGATTTGGTATAATTTCGATTTGGGTGAACGAAGAGAACTGGAAACCTAAAATTTGGAATAAAGGTTGCTGTTAGAGTGTAGAATAGATATATGGAAGTATAGCACTTATGTGTTTTACATGGTACAAAATTTGGTACAATTTGATTTTGTGTGAACGGATAGAGCTGGACTCCAGAACTCTGGAATTAAAATTACTGTGGGAGTGTAGGATTGAGGTAGTTTAGTTTAATTATAGAAACAAAAAGTACTAAATGGTACCAAATATTTTACAATTTTACACAATTTTTTTACAATT